TCCTTCAAGGTCTCAGCTGCTTGATGCACAGTGGAGTCCAAGCGCGTGGGGTCGTAAGTAGTTTCAAAATAATTTTGAAAAGCTTTTATCTCTTTGGCATGAGTAAACATACCTTTCTTTGCTGGTACCTGCACATCGAAGGCATCAATTAGTTTCTGTCGAATTGTAAGTGTATCGAACATGCAAGTTTGATAAAACTTAATCCACCACTCCAGAAACCCTTTAGCCGCGAGATGGGTAGGTTCGAAGGCTATCAGCTCAAATTGGGCAAAGCCTTGATATTGTTCTTGTTGAATCTTGGCTTCCTTTGCCTTGAAAGTTCGACCAGATGTGATGGCGCTCTCAGTCTGGAACAAAGGTTCAGGAATCAGTTGGCATAAGCCAAACTGCCTCGAAACGAAGTTTGGTTGATAGGCAAAAAGGAGAATTTGATTCTTAGCTGGGGTTATCCTTGAAGAGATGAGTCTAGGAAGCAAAAAAGCTCTCCATACATCTTGGATCTCCTTGCTCTTGATGGCTTCTGAGAGAGCCATGGTGAACCAAGAGGGTCCATGAGTCCTCGAAGCAAAAGGCGCCATGCTCTCTTCGAACTTATGCCTTTTGGAGAGGATCATGATGTACTTCGAGAATTGAACCTTGAAGTCATCCTTGTCATCATTAGGTGTTAGTCTTCGAAGCCTAGTGCCTTCGACTATCCTATCACTTATTTCTGAATCTTGCTCATCTATGGTGTTGGCGGTTGGTAATGAAGGTTCGAACATGGCGTTTAGCCATAATTGGAGTAACCAAAATGGGCCAGCTAATAGGATGTTTTTAGAGGTGTGGGATTTGAGACTCGAAACGGCTGACCTCAGGCTCTCATAGAGGTCAACTAAGAGTAATTCACTTAGGCACACTTTGCGATTTTCGTGTAAATCCCTAGCTAGAGGAATGAATCTACTAGCTACCTGCAGGGATCTACTGCAGAAAACGTACCTAGACAGCCACAGGGTTAAGAATGCAATATGTTCTATGTCAGACACATTATCCCCTTCAGCATGATAATGGCTGATAAATTTGGAAAAGCTGGCTAACTTGACTTCGAAGTCAATTATGCTGGAGTGTTCTTTATTGTCAGGAACATAAGTTTCTCCCACTGGTGACAGCCCAGTAATAGCCGCTATATCAAAGAAAGTTGGGGTAATCATTCCACCTGGGAGATGGAAAGTATTGTAGGTACTATCCCAGAAGTAAAGGGACGCGAACAGCAGAGGGTGGCTATAGGTGAATCCAGGTTTCGATAGCTTAATGAGGTTATAAATGCCTAGTTCTTCCCATTGCTGGGATTTTTTGGCTTCTACTTTCGCGAACCAATTTTGATAGGCAATATCAGAAGTAGGGCAAGATCTAAATGGTTTAAAATTGCTTTTTACATAATCCAAAACAAATGGGTCCTTGGGAGGAACAGTTGGGGTTTCTGCGGTATTCGAACTGAGGGATTCTACTACCCTAGGGGTATCCATTTTGTTGAATAAAGGTTTGAAGCTATAACATACGGGAAAAATTGTCCTGGTGTCCTTTAGTATTTCAAAAACCGTAAGAGGACCATTTAAGGCTAACCTCTTACCAGCAACATGGGTAGGGATGAGTACCTGTGATGCGTACAGCATTTCTTTTTCTTTGGAAATCATTTGAGGAGCAAGAGCAGATTGGCCTTGAATGGTGACGATTTTACTCTCCATGGTTGCTTCTGTAGTCTTTCCCTTCTTCTTTGAGATTTTCTTGAGTTGGGAAGAGGTGGAGGAAGACATTTTTTGTTGTTTAAGAGCTTAGATTGTGTATGAGAAAAAAAAGAGTGAAAAATCAGAGTATGAAAGATTTAGAGTGTAAAAAAAGGAAAAGGAAGAGTAAATTGACGTTTATAATGAGAAGATTAAACATCCACCGAGTAAAAGTGTGATACGTGGAGATCATGAATTGGTGTGATGAAGAGGTGGCGAGAAGGTGGTATAGGAAATAAGCGTGATTTAAAAACAATCATTACCTATAACTGCTCCACGCTGTGAAGTGACTCTGGGCGGTTAAGGAACTCAAAAGGTGCTATGATTGATGTGACTGGAGTCAAAGGCATTAAATGTTATAATGATTCGAAAATCCTATCAAAATCTTGTATAAATGTTTAAAATAGGTATTTCTCAAAGAGATCGAAATACATATTTTAAAGGGGCAATTTGTTGGCTGAAGATTTTGATAATGTTATCTAGAATTCAAAAGAGTTAAAAGTTCTGATCGAAATGGAATTGAACACCATATTTCGAAGTTGCAGAAGCGGTGTTTCGAATGAGTGTGTCAAAGCTTGAAGCTTCGAACGGTGATCATGGGAAAATATCCAAAGGGGTCTCGAAACAACAGCGAGGCTAGGTTTGGGAAGAGCGTTCGAAACGGAGAAACACCAAAGCATTTAAAATTTAAATGGAAGCGGGACTTTCAAAGTTTGAAAGTTATGTGTTGGAGCATTTGGGGACACGTGGAAAGATGAAAGAAGCATTGTCTTGCATGTTCGAAACGTGGCATAATCCTATAGCGAGACCGTTAGGGTCGAATTAGTATAAATAGAAGTCTTAGTATTAGGATTTCAGTGTGTCATATCTGTTATACAAAATACTCAATAACATTCAAACTACCACATGGCAAGGGAAACGAATGCAAGAGAGATGTATGTATGATAGCACCATGTATTTTTAATTTAATGAAAGCCTTTTTACCATTTCCAGTACTTTCCTCTTTTCTTTTTATCGAATAACATTTACAAGTTTCTTTATTTATCGTCTTTTCATTTCAAAGTCTTTTCCTCAAAAGTTTTGCTCTTTATTGCTTTCTTTATATTTCGAGCACTTTATATTTCAGAGAACTGTTACGCTTTCAATACCTTTACTTCCAAGTATTGCTTTTCAAACGCATCTTTTTAATTAAAATTGCATTAAACGCTTTCTTTACATTTTAAACTTCTACATTCCAGAAACCTTTTATGTTAAATGTTTTGCAAATCGAAATCATTTACTTCATTTTCCATACAGTTTTACATGTCTCTTCAATCAGCATTACAATTAGCATTTATTCGTATAATTTAGTTTTCATGTACAATTTGAACACATTCTTAAACTCTTAGAGAGAAGGATCGAAATAAACCAAACACTTGTACAATAGCAACCATGAATAATTGTTCGATTGTGAGAGTAACTTTAATATCCAAGGAGTCCTAGGATCAATCTAGTCGATCCTGTGAGTTACCAGAGAGATTGAGTAGCGTTAATAAAGATTATTCGATAGTTTGGAAGACTAGCGGTTGTTTACCAGAAATCACTGGAAACACATGCGTTAATCAAGAATTTCACAATTAATACGACTAAAAAAATACGCAACAAATATCAAACTATTTTTCACAACAAATTAATCTAGACAACTGTTTTGGCAAAATGGTTTCAAATGGATTTTGACTAATTGCGCATTTAGCCAAAATCTCCGCAATCACTACTCCCGGTCAAAATGCGAGGTGATTCAAAATACATTTGCAACCCCTAAAAAACACCAACCCTATACGAACTATGAATTGAGACTCTGATTCTTCATAAGAGGATACGTAGACATACGACTAAAATCGTGACGAGTTTCCCTACTAAACTTAAAACCCTGTTTTACCCGAACCTAAACCTAAAACCTAGTATCCTTGTGAACAAGGTAGATGAAAGGTGCCTAACACCTTCCTTTCATCTAAAAGAGTCTGAAACTTAGAATCTTTGTCTCTACGAATTATGGTTTCCTATTAGATGCCCTTTCCCTAGGATAAAAACTAATAATGGCGACTCTGATTTTAAATCCAGTTGCAACACCTAGCTCCATATACCTTTAATCTTCAAATTAGCATTCATGTTGCAAGTAATTATCCTTTTTTAAGTTGTTGGTACTGATTATTGTTTTTAACATGTATAACTCTCAGATGCAAATCATGTTTTTACCAATGTTTTAAAAACTGGACCGAACCGTCCAGTTCATCCGGTTGACCCGAGAACCGGAGGTAACTCCAGTTCGACTAGTCTTGTAAAATCGCAGGTGAGCCAAAGGCTGAGTAAAACTGAAAAAACCGGATTAAATCGCTCAAAATTAATCGAACCAAAGAATCAGGGCCGATTTTGTAAAACCGTCTGGTTCAAAGAAATGCCTATCATTGACCAATTTTAGTATTTTTTTATAAAAAAATTAAAAATAATTATTATATTAGCAATAATACTTAAAACATTTTCACTTCACAAAAAATAAATTCTTCTTTAACACAAAAGAGCAACATAAATTTCTACGTTATAACAGTGTAATTATGTTATAGTTTTGTTTCTTTAAACATACCATTATATTGTGTAATTATGTCTATTATTAATCTCATAGTATTAAGTTTGTAATAGATTTTTAAAACATTTAATTTATTAATTTGTGAACATATGATTATGTGACTTATCCATAAAATTTATCTTTATATTCTTAATTTAATTAATAGACGGTTCAACCATAAGTTTAACCAATTGAATCAAATGAATTTTGAATTGAAAGTCTTACTAGTTCGACTTCTCTGATTTTTAAAACATTAATTTTTACTAAATAATTTTTTATATATTAATAATGTATATTAATCAAACTCATTAAATAGTATTATTTTTTATTAAAAGTCAAATATATATTTATGAAGATTAAAAAAATATGTTCTGTCTATATAACTTTTTACCTGTAAATGAGATAAAATCACATCATATAAATTTTCTTCTAGTCTCATATTTAAAATATTAATTATAATATTTTGAATAGCTTTTAGTCTCGTAATTTAGGTTGCAAAAAGAAACCACTCACAAATTCACAATAGTATATAAGAAAAATACCAACGTCGTTTGCAGCTTTCAGATCTCTTCTCATTCGATCATTCACCAGCAGAAGAAGAAGCTTCTAGAGAGAGAACAGAGAAGAACCGATTTGCGATGGGTTACAGAAACAAGAGCTTGGTGACAAAGGATCAAACTGTTTCTTCATCATCGAATTGTGAATCACCGAGTGATGCAATGCTTGTTTTCACTATGAATATCATTGGTTTACCAGTTGATGTTCATGTTAAAGATGGTTCTGTGTATTCTGGAATCTTCTATACTGCTTCTGTTCATGACCGTTTCGGTACTCTTCTTTCTCTCTCTCATTCGGTTATTCAATTTTTCTATGGGAAAGTTGTTTTCTGTATTGATTCCCTCAATAGCTCGATTAGGTTGTGAATATTTTTTTATGTAATTTGTGCAATTCTCATGATTAGTGTTATCTTACTTAGTTATTGAATTTTTTGTTGTGGTTTCCCTAACTCTATTTTGCTTAAACCTTAAATCATAGATCTTAAGACAGTTGATAGTTTTAGTGTTCATTCATTTTGTGTGTCTTCCTTTGTCTAGGAGAATCTTAGGAATTGAGTAAGCAATTCAATCAGAAAAATTTATATGTGCTAAATTACTAACTACTAATTGTATGTGTTACTCTATGTAGTAGCAACCTCTGATGCTACTATGTAGCAATGGCACTTTTGAAAAAAGGCGTCCAATAGTGACACGACACCGACACTTGTGATTATGTTCAATTTATTCTCTTTTTCTTCAAAATTTTCCAGGTGTAGACGTGTCAGCGTTGTGTTGGTGTCGTGTCCGGTGTCCGAGCTTCATAGGTAGTGACACTTCACATTGAAGGCTTGTCTAGTCTTCGCGACAAATGACATCAACACATGTAGATATAGTCAATCACTTTCATTTTCTAAATTTATTTCGGGTGTCTGTGTGACGACCTGTAGACACCAGAACAAATGACACCAACAAATAGACATTTAAATGTCTGTGTTGGTGCCTACAGATCGCTACACATAGACACCCGGAATAAATTTAGAAATTGAAAGTGATTGACTATATCTACATGTTTTCGTGTCATAAGAAAAAAAACTGAGTGATAGGAAAAGCAGGCCGAGTTGTTAACCTTTTTAAGTATTCAGTTTTGGCGTGTAACCAGAAGTTTTTTTTCCCAGAGAATGAATTATTGGTTCATTTCAGTTAAAAAATTTAGAGAATTATGTATCTCAATTTTCGTTTCTTAATTGTTGAATGATTACAAGGGGTTGCACTCCATATATGGGAATGTTTGAGCTACACACGCTTTAACTTACTTCTCACTAGTCTAACTAACTGAGATTGACTCACTTCTACATTATAGTTTATCCTCTAGGTGTACACCTATGCCAAGGTGCTGTACAATTCAGTAAATTACATGAGAAAGTGTTCCCAAAGGTGCATCCCCATGTTTGACATGAGCATTCTATGCATTCCCTAATACATTTAAATTTTATAATCTGTTATATAATTAAAAACTCAACATCATTCACTTACTTTGCTGCGTGTTTAGGTATTGTTTTGAAGCAAGCTAGGATGACCAAGAAGGGAAATGGCCACAGCAATGTTGGAAAAGAGGCCTTGATAGATACATTAGTGGTTCAATCAAAGGATATTGTGCAGGTCATTGCTAAGGTATAGCCATTTGTCCATGCAATGTATCTTTTATGACTACATATCTTCTTAGAATATAACTATGTGCTTAAGGTTAAGGTACACATGACTTTGTGCGTAGGGAGAAACACTTCCCGGGGATGGTGATAATGGAAAAATAACTGGCGAGGATGAGGAAGCAATTACACCCAAAGTTTGTTGTTCCGATAACCGTTCAGTGGATGCAGAACAGGTTAATCAATCAAGGTATTGTCTTTGTCAAATTCATTCAAATGGACGGGAATATGTGGTGAGCATAGCTAGTTAATTTGTTATTAAGTTTCATAACCAACTCCCAAGGAAGCATTGACTGTGTCTTCCTTGCTTTTCTTAGCTTTTGATATGATTTATTATACAATAAAATCCGATTAAGCACCTACCCCAACATGAAATTGTTAAGCTAACATTTTTGCAAAACATTTTTGCAAAACATTTTATCTCTTCCAGAATGTTAGACCCGAGTTATGAGCCTTGCTCTTTAAGTGAGGCACTTTTCTGCCATTTTCTAATACACTAAGATTCAATGATTTTGATATTAGCACGTAGCAATCTAAGTTAATACATTCAAAACATTCTTGCAACTTGAGTTTTCAAGTTACTAGGAGTTTTCTATCCTAAGCCAGGAAAATATGTACTCCCACTTGTCACTATTATGAGGAAATATTTCATTTTTCAGATTTATTGAATAACTGGTGTATTTGGCCTTAAATATAGATCAAGTACATAAGTTATTCAAGGAACCTGAAAAAATATATTTGTTTATAATAGGTGATCGGAGCGAGTATCGGTTAACTATTCCTTCTTTGGTTCTTGTCTGAAATAACTCATACCTCAAGTAACCCCTTCACAATGAAATATAGTGAAGCCTTTATCTATTCATAAATTCAGATCAACTCATTATATGTATTTAGATTTACTCATTGGTTGGTTGCAAAGTCAAGCTCCTACTACTGAACTACACTATTAGGCTTCTCATAAAGGAAAAATGATGACTTAGCAATTATGTTAAGTGACAATTATTAAATTATTAGGAGTGTTTAGTGGGAAGTTATTATATCATTAGGAGCCGTTACATTTTATTAATACTGTGTGTTTACGTTAAAGAATAAATAGGGGAAGATAGGGAAAAGTTATTATCTTGAAATTTGACTAGAAAGGGTCCATTTTTGACATTAGGGAGATGCAGATACTCGAAGTGTTGGGACCTTATTATGTAATTCAAAGGAGTTTACCCTATTTCTTTGTGTACCAATGTATTATGTGGTTTCTATCAACTGGTATCAGAGCAATTATGATCCAAGAAGATTAAGTGGATGTGCTGGAAATTTTGGTATGAAGATGGCTGCAAATTTGATTCCAAGATTTGATGGAAGGGATTCCCATTGGTGGTTGATCTAGGCAGAGCAATATTTCCGTTCAAGAAGAATGAGAGAAGAGGTGAAGCTTTGGTGTGTTTTTGCATGCATTGAGAGGAGATGCTCTTGATTGATGGATTACTTGGAAGAAGAGCCATCCAAGCTTTGTTATGAAGATGGCTGCAAATTTGATTTCAAGATTTGATGGAAGGGATTCCTATTGCTTGTTGATCCTGGCAGAGCAATATTTCCGCTTAAAAAGAATAGGTGACGTGTTTTTTGCATTTGCATTGAGAGGAGATGCTCTTGATTGGTGAATTATGTGGAAGAACAGCCATCCAAATACTTGGTGGGATATTTCAAAGTCCATTTTCAAGAAATTCCAACCAAAAGTTTGGGATTGTCTTTAGGATTTAGAAAATGAATAATAGGAAAACAAAGGCAGCGATGAAATTCAAGATGAGAATCAAGAATCAATAGCATCCCAAACTGAAGAAAATATTTGAGGTGAAGTTGAAGACTCGCAGATCCAACAATACAGCAAAAAAGAAGTTTGTACGATGGATACCAAATCTGACCGCGAGGGCGACGAAGTGAAGAATGCGTAATCATTGATGGGTCCTACTGAAGTAAAAGTCCCGAGAAGTGGAGAGTTGGACATTCCATCACAGGCAGAAGGCTTGCTACCGATAAAGCTTTTAGAGGCTAGCTTGGCGATTTACACAAAGGAAAGACTGGTGATGACGACTAAAGTTAAGAAGGACCTTGTGAGAGGGTGAGGTAGCATGATATAAATGTAGTGCAGATGGCGGTCCCGTGCATGTTAGGCGATCTGTTGACATCACAGGTACCATCACACTTAAGAGATTCTGCAACAAGAAAATTAGAGAATTGGGATTCAGAGATAGTCCAAATAAGTGGCCACTGCCAGAATGGTTAGACGAATAATCACCATTGCTAAAACCACAAGATGTCGAGTCTCACATGGTGTTTGTTGATATTCTTAAGATAAAGTCTAGGAAAGAGAAAGTTCCACTGCCAGTGTCGCTGTCGCCCCAACAACCGGTTAGAGAGGACTGACAGCAGCCATCAACTTTGATCGGTTTTTTTCTTCTTATTTCATCTACAACTCAATCTTTCTACTTCGAGTTATGGGATATGGGAAGATATATTTTTCTATAGTGTATTTCTTTCACCTTCAGGACAAGGTGAATCTTTAGGGGTGGAGTATTGTTAGACCTCTCTCAAAGGAAAACTGATGACTTATCAATTATGTTTTTAAGTAGCAATTATTATATTATTAGGAGTGGTTAATGGGAACTTATTATATTATTAGGAGCAGTTACATTTTATTAATGCTGTGCGTTTATGATTTGAATAAATAGGGGAAGATAGAAGGAAAGTTGATTATTTTAGAATTTGATTGGAAAAGGGGTCAATTTGTCATTAGGGGAGGTGCAGACCCTCAAGTTCTGCGATTTATTCTGTAATTCAAAAGGATTTTCCCTATTTCTTTTATATATCAGTTGGTTTCTATCATACACATCAGGGATTCACAAAAGGGAAAGATAAACAATAATGTAGGACACTGTTACATAACGAATTGGAATGTCAAGTGATTTGATTGTGTCCCACCTGCCAGCATGCAATTTTTTGTTTGTTAGTTACTATTAGGGTGTTTTCCCAATCGTATTAGATGTAATGTATTGATTGTTCAACTCAAGGAAGAAGATTGAAATTGCTCTTACATAATACGTTTAAATTTAATTTTTCGTTTATCAAATGCTGTCTTTTTGTATGCCTGTCTTTAGTAGTGTATAGTTAACACATTCACATTGCAAGATACTAAGATTTAGGCTTTATTTACAACATATTTATATATCCAGTTTGTTAAAAATAATGTGAATCATGATAGAACAAAATAAAGTAGAAATTCTTCTCTAATTCTTTATTTACCCAATGGTATTTTTTCTTTTCTTGGGCAAATAGCGCTCCTGTATCATGTACTTATTGGCAGTATTATTTATTGTTTTGACTTAAAAATGGATATTTAGATAGCACTTTTCTACATATGTTAGATATACATTTATGTGAAATGTTATTTCGTTCCACTTAGCATATATTCAAATATCAATTTAGAGTTCATCTTTACCATGTCCCTCACCCTCTCTTCCTACTGTTAGCCAACTTAAGGAGATGAACAATCAAAAGTGAATAGAACTATTTCACTATACAGTTCTACTTTCCATAAGAAAAACATAAAGTATGATGGACTTCTTACATTATTGCATTTGGAATATATATGATTTCAGAAAATACAGATTTATGACATTATTTTCTTTTGCCCTTCTGTTCCTGCCAACTTTCTATTGACAGACAAGCTGAAGATAACAACTCAAAAGAGAAGACTGATGACTGCAGGCAGAAGTTTGAATTTCATAGTGAAAAAAACGTAGGTTGACGTATGCACAGCTGCACTTTTGGTGGTTTGATTATTTTTTTAAAATTCTAAAGCTGTGATTTTCCACAGGATGAAAAGATTCAAAGCCTTGACTCAGGCCATAAAAGTGAGTTGGATTTCTCTGATCTTTGTTTCATGTAAAATAATTGTAGTCACCATTGATGGAAATGCCACAAGCATAACTTATAACGGTTGTGAACATTTATTAGTTTGCGTACTTCTTCAACAAATTTTGTATGTTGAACAATGTGCCGGAGGCATGTTGTTTTGGATCTTTTTCCACCTTATGGATACCTTTATGCAAAGTACACATGAAAAGATAACATTGTTTTCTTCCAAGAATTCACATAATGTTACCCCTATATTTTCTGGTTTGCCGACACCTGTTCCTCTCAAAACTAGCCATTGCCTATGATCTCTCACCTCGTATTAATTGAACCCCCTCTTCTTAGCATTAGATGAGAAACATTTATTTTATAATTCTATGTTCCCTTATCAATTCTTATGTACTTGCATTGTAGTTGTTACATGTCTTAGCCAAGTTAAAGCTGATAAAGCCAATGATCAGGGTAGTGAAAGGTCCACTTCACCAGATTCTACATCTACACATTCCACCCTAAGTGAAGATCTCAGCGAGGCGTCACATAATGTTCCAGCAAAAATTATTGAAAAATCTGCTCCAAGGGGTACAGATTGTACTAGAAATGCAAAGGTAAATAAACCAGTTTAGCTTCCATCTACAGATGCTGGCAATACAGTTCCTGATAAAAAAAAAGGATGTAGATGGAAGGTTTATTTTGTCATGACAAAGCACATTCGATGCATTTGTGCTCTATTTAATGCATCTTATTAACTGAGTCATTTTTGGAAACGTATGCTAAATAAAGTTCATACATCCAATATTTCTTCCTAATACTCAGTTAGTTATAGTATCGCTTAAACATTTTGAATGGGTGATCTATTAAATTTTGATCTTGTTAGAATATTAGAAAATAATAATATCTTATAATATCTTTATATTATATTGTAGTATCTTAATTTATGTCATAAGATCACTTCATATTTTTAGATTATCTCTTAGGATTGGTTTTATATTACTTAAGATATTCTTATAATTTGTTTTACGGTTTCCGTATTTATTTAATATTTGAAGTATTGTATCCTTATAAACAAGGATTAATATTTAGTCTTCTGTATCAAGTTACTACCAAACTATTATTTATAACATTCAAGCATTTATTCTTTTTCCCCATTTTTTAAATCTAAAACTCATACTTTCAACACTTCTATTGCTCCTTAGATACGCCATCCATCATTTATAAAGTTAAGAGTACTAATCTAATTTTTAACAGATTTTAGTTTCACTTACGTAGCTGCATGATAAATAGCCGGTGCCAATTTTGATATAATATGGTTTTTTAGTTTAGTTCTTTTTGATATAACTTTAACTTTTTCTTTCTGTGACATTCAAATAGGAATTTAAGCTCAACCCAGCGGCCAAGATTTTCTCCCCGTCTTTTGTATATCCTATTTCAGCACCTTCTGCTATGCCAACATCTGCAAACATGGTATACATGCCAAATAGCCCTCATGCTCCAAATATGGTTTACATGCCAAATAGCTCTCCTCCAGTACATGTTGCTACTCTTCAACCTGAAGTCGGATTCAATACTTTTGCTTCTCGACCTTCTGTGCCTGTTAAGGCTTTACAGTATGGTAATTTGACAGTTGGAAATGCTGGCAGTGGTTCTCAATTTTCACAACCTGTATGTATTAACAAATTTACTGATATTCTGTCTCTTGTTTGCATGAGCATGTTTCTTTGATACACAGGTACCGTCAAAAAATATTTCTTAGGAACTCATTATTGTCATTTTTTGATTTCTTTGGCGACAGATTGTTGGTCAACTGGCACATAGGACACAACCTCTTCAGTATGCTGCACATTATACTCCAGTTCTATCTGAACCTGCTTATTTGCAATCAAGCTCTCCTGCTGTAAGTACACAGATATTATGTTCCGGCCATCTATCTAATTTAATATTTCTTCTTTAAAAGCTATTAATTGGTTTAGGAGGAATCACACGTTCCCACGAGATATTGTCTTTTTTTCTGAGTGCAGGTTATGGCTGGACGATCCACCCAGCTAGTCTATGTTCAACAAGTTTCCCACGTAAGATAGCATGTCTATAGCCCTTTTCACATAAGGAGTTTCTTCAGTTTGTCTTAATAAAAGTTAAGCCAAAACCTGAAGAAATTACTTCTATTGTAATAGGAAGAGAGAAATCGAAAGATAAAGTAGAGAAAGAGTTGCATTATTCTGTTTTTTATTTCTGTTTAACAACAAGCTGAATAGCTGAGTATTTATAACTCAGTTGGACTGTGCTGACTCAGCACAGTCAGATCTAGATTGTTAGAGCCCTTAGGCTTAGTTTGGCTCTGCACTATTATTTTCCTAATGCTTTTGTTACTCCATTATATAGAAGGTCTTATAGAACATTAGGAAATTCACAGTGGATAAAAAATTAAAAGATGATTTGTACACAATACTATTGAACTGAATTTCGTGTGCAAATGTATTTTCATAATATAAACTAATGATAATTGCACAAGGAATAACAACGATGAAAAATGCCACCAATGTTTCTCATGTTGGTGAATGAGTATCTATCATTATCAGTCTGTTAATTAGATCCTAAAACTACGCTTTGGAAAGTCCGTCTTGAGGGAACATAAGCTGTAGTGATCAAACCCTTGTCTAGTTTCTCTTTGATGAAGTGCATGTCTCTCCCTATGCTTTGTCATGTCATGCTGACTGGAATATGTGCAATGCAAGTGGCTGATTTGTTGTTAAACACTAGCTTTGTCAAGATTTGTACATCTCGTAGGTCCTCCAACACAATGTTCAACCGTAGTTCTCAAATTCCCAACTTCATGGCTCAGAACTCAACTTATGTGCTTGACTTGCCAACTACATTATGTTTCTTACTACTCGGTGCAACTAAGTTTCCATCCAAGGTCATGCATTCCCTGAAATTGATTCCCATCTCTGACTGATCTTGTATAAACAACATCGGTATAAACACCTTGTTGGAATATCCGCCTTCATTGTAGTCCGCCCCTAGTCACCTAAGTTGCGGTATTGGCTTGCCTTCATTGCAACCTCCAACACATTTATCGGGTTGGATTTGAAGGGGTGGATTTAGTCCCATATTGCTTAGAGATATGACATGTGTAGTATTTATAAAGTTTGGGCAGCCCTCACCTTACAAGCGGGTTTTGTAGGGATGAGTTAGGCCCGATCTAAATTCTAAGATGGCATCAGAGCCTATCCTAGATCTGTTATTGGGCTTCCCGCTTCGTCCACGCTTCGCCTCATTGAGGCCCAAACGCGAGGGTGTGTGTTGAAATTTCCGCCTTAATTGCGGTCCGCCCCTAGTTGCCTAAATTGTGGCATTTGACCTGTCTTCTTTGCAACATCCAACATCTTCATTATTTTTGGTTTAAAGAGGTGTATTTAGTCTCACATTGCTTAGATATATGACATGTAATGTGTTTTTAAGTGGTGGCAATCCTCATCGTACAAGCCGTTTTGTAAGGTTAAGTTAGGCCCAACAATCTCCACCTTTCTTTTAATAGTAGTCCTCTGCCAGGTGTATACTTCAAGATTTGTAAAATTCTACACTGCTTGTAATTTGTAAATGTATCACTCTCAAGTCACACATGATTTGGCTCACAATACCAATTGCTTATGCTAGGACAGGTCTTATATGCGTACAATATATCATTTTCCCACTAACCTTTAACCTTTGATATTGAGCTTTGTCAACTGTAAGAATTTCTTCATCATTTCCAATCCTATGATAATTTGATCGGTACAGTGGCAGTCTTACAACCTAATTTCCTATTTCTCTTACGGACATCAAATCATAGAGAATATCCTTGAGAAAATGAAGATGGCTTGTTATTGTTAGGAATATTGTTAAGATTCTGAATATAGAGAAGAAATGAAACTCTAGTACTGCTACAAAAGATTATGTAGGTAAACAAATCATGTTTCCTTCTCTCAGGGCAATAGGCAAGTCATTTGAGTTAGTAGAAACATTTAAAAGCTTATCTAAGGTATCAAGAGGAAGGGTAGGAAAACCGATACCTTCAATACTTACTAAGTTCAGATAATCAGACTAAATGTTCGCAAATATGGGTTTCTTCTGTATTTGATACAAGATTTGTGATGTGCTGTTAGGATATGGAACACACTGATAAGTTTGTTGGTTAATAGACTTAGTTACTAAGGCTGAGATTGTTAGATGAAATGCTTATAGTATGTGGCCTATAAATAAGAAAATGGGGTTAAAAGGGACAACAGTCACTTTTAGGAGTCTACAATTCTAGAGCATTTAACAACCCTTCACCTTAAGGACAAGGTGAATGTTAGAGGGTGGTGGAGCTCTTATGCTTATGAGAGTTTGTTAGTCAGGCTGAGATGGTTAGACGATATAAATAAGGTATGTTGCCTTTTAATAACAAAAGGATTGAGAGGGAGAGTTGTCCTTGGGTGAGAAATAGATTTGGGAATAGGAAGAGTGTTGGATCTCTCAAATATTAAGGGGGGACTTTTTATACATTTTTGTGTACACTTAGTAAAAATATATTCTTTATTTTTCTATTTCTGAGTTGAATTCACATAATGCTAACTAAGATCTATTACTAATATCCTATAGATCCTTTATAAAGGGATATGGATATGACTTCTGTGAAATTGTATGGATGTATCTATTTGCTAACTGAACCAAGAGTTACACTAACTTTTTTATATTTATATTTCCATGGTCAACCAAATCTAAAGTACAAAGCATTTCCTTCCCTGCATAAATGTTTATTAATTTGATCATCATAGCTGAGTCTTTCTACTTGTGATTGAAGGATTTGGTTCATGGTGTAACGGCTCCATTCCCAACCCGCCCCCTGATGAATCACGTACAATTTCCAAAGCATCAAGGTAACAATATGACATTTTTTTATTGCATTTGTTTTTCTTTTCAAATGCGCTCTCAAGCAGCTGCCAAAAGGAAAGTGACCATTTCCTGAAAATAAGCTATTCCAAACACAAATGTCATAATGAAACTCATTATCACTTTCCCTTTTGATATGAAACATAATTGTCTCTTGACATTCAAATTGAATACAATGTATGAATCTGCATTTCCTTTTGGCTAATTGTTCTATATTTCAAAAATAGGAGGAACATTTAGTCAAGCAATACCAGTTGTTATGCCTCCATCTGTCCTAACAAGCGCGCAACAACAAAACTTTGCATTTCAAAACCACATTCCAGTTTTACAACCTGGCTTTTCTCCACCTAGACCTATTTCAGTCCCAGGATCAAATGGTTTCTATGGCACCAAGTTTTCATGAAACTTTCATTCAGATTCTTGTGTTATATCCTCCGAGTTAAAGCTCATTTTTCTCTGCCATTTTTTTAAAATTATGTTCTAGTTTTTGAGTTTCTCATTTATTTCCCTTCTCTTGGTCGGAAGTGTATAGAGTTTTGTGCTGGTTAGAAATTTTAGGGTTATAGTACTTTTTTAGAAGAAATTTTGTGAGTCCTCACGTGAAGGAAAAGTAAGGTACTAAAGTTCAATTCTTGTCTTGGGAATTGAAGAAAAGTTTTATTTTCTTTAGGGGTTGATATTGTATGTTTGGCAATTGCACTTAAATGGGTTGGCTATAAACTCCACTACATTGATAGTTAGATTTGAGGTTGGCTATAAATGGGTTGGCATTGTTGAATATAGATTTGATATTGGTCTTTCATATTCAAATTTTAATGTTTATTTTGGACATTTGATAGTTAGATGTTGGTTTATGATAGCTATCTTCATACCTTTATTTTATCTATTTAGGTTTAATGAGATCTAAGCGTTATAAGCCTTTGGCTAACATTGTAGACAGACATAGGACGTTAACGAAGTAGTTGATTACATTTAAGTTATCCAATTTAGATCAAATATATTTTCTTTTAAGAAATAGTTTTTTTCCTTCATTTTTGTATTACATTATCAATGGGGTATACTAAAGAAAATCAAAATAGGTGAATAGATCCACCATTAAAACTCCAAAAAATAAAATTTAAAACAATTAACTCATTATTAAATTCAAAGATTTAATTATGCTTTGTAAGTAAACGAAAATATTTGGCTGAAAAAATAAAAAAATAATTCAAAGAAAATTAAATTAAAAAATCGACAATAAGTATAGATTTAAATATAATTTTCGTCTTTAAAATTATTATTTATTATAATCACGATAAAATTTTGTCTAGTCGCTACAAATTCAAACACTTGTTTTTAATTCCTAACATTGGGTTACTAGTCCCTATAATAGAATTTTATTTCATCAATTATAACATGAAATTTCTTAATGCACTTTATGTATTTATGTATTAGTAGGACACCTCGTAAAAATATAATTATGTTCTTAGGTTTCAGAGATATATTTTCGAGTGCATTAAAATTTAACACATTTATGAATTATGTCTTAAATGAAAATAATTAATCGGAGATACATTTACGTGGATGCACCAAAATTCAGTGCAAATTTGATGAGATTTCAACTCCAGGCGCAATTATTTTGGAGATACATCTTCGTAAAATTTACGTAGATGCAAGACGCTCTTTGTTTAAAAATGCGCCAGGAGCCTTCACATTTCTCACTTACTCAAACTCCCAATTTATTTTTTCAAACTTTTTCAAATCCCATTTTCTCAAGTTTTCTCAAACAACATCAAGAAACTTCAAACACCTAACTTCAAACAACATCAAACAACTTTAAGACATTATCTGTAAGTTTACAACATATACTCAAAAATTGAAGATATATCTCTGAATAATTAGTTTGCAATATTTTATCTTTTTTGTATAAAACTCATTGTGTAACGCTTGTCTATTTACAAAAATTGTGGCTGATAGACAATCCCGATTGAGACACGACAAGATTGCACAATATACATCCATTTAGAGGAAAAAGAGGCAACCATCCCAAGCTCATGTTACCTCTATCTAGGTTGATGCAGAGGCTTCAGATTCTGGGACTCATGTATTTCCGCCTTTTTCTTCATCTTTCCATAGCAGACGAGGGTCTCCTTCTCATGCATCCTCGACTCCATCTTTTCGTAGACGACTCAATTCATGTATTCAGGCATCCGATGCAGCAGAGATATCCCAGTCACCCGAGGTACCTTAGACTATAGGCATCTGAGGCATCCCAAACCCAGGAGACCACAACGACACCTGAAGTATCCCAGGCCTAGGGGGCAGCAGAGGCACCTCAGAGTTTTAGACGAGTAAAGAGAGTAATCTTAGAAGAGGCTCATAAGAGCGATTTTATCATCCATTCAATTTCTTCTAAAATGTATCAGGATTTAAAGAAGAACTTTTGGTGGTCCGGTATGAAAAAAAAATTCCATAATTTGTGGTTAGATGTGTAGTATGTCAGCAAATGAAAATTGAACATCATAGACAATTGAATTTCTCGTTATTAACTGAAATCAGAACGTACAAAGTCTTGGACATGAATCATTGTCCTGAATCCATCTTTATAAATTTTTGAAAACAAATTTTAATTATAATCAGAACAATCTCAAATCAATCATTTTAGATAAACAAAGAGTAATGAAATTCGACAATCGATTTGATTCACTCTACTCTTTATAATGCTTGGTTTTATCATAGCAAATAATATATATTATTGTATTTCTTTTCAAACTAGTAGGATGCCCGTGCGTCCGCACGGGTACATATGTGGACCGCGGAATTGTGAGTAGTTTGATTTTGAAATTTAAACAAAATAGAAAATGTTTAAATTTAATTGTAAAAAAGGAAAAATAATAATAAAAGTAAAAAATAAATATATAAGTTAAACAAAATATAACAAAAATGTAAATAAGATTTTTTTTTACCAAAATAGTTTATTATTTCTAAAAGAAAGACATCAATTATATTTATATATATATATATATATATATATATATATATATATATATATATATATATATATATATATATATATATATATATATATATATATATATATATATATATATATATATATATATATATATATATATATATATATATATATATATATATATATATATATATATATATATATATATATATATATATATATATATATATATATATATATATATATATATATATATATATATATATATATATATATATATATATATATATATATATATATATATATATATATATATATATATATATATATAATCTTAAAAATTATTGTATTTTAAATTAAAAATAATTATAAAATTAAAATATTAAACATATAAGTGATAAAAAAACAATATATTTTTCCCGTGTTTGAATTCATATATTATTTTAAATATATTTAATTTAATTTTTTTTAATTGTAAATAAAATATAAGAACACGTGCTTTCACACAGATTTTGATCTGATTACCCGTGTGTTCACACTTATTTTGACTTGGTTAGCCGTGTGCTCACACGATACTGGTGTGTTATACATATACGATTTTGTTTACTAAAATTATTTTACATCAATAATATATATTTTACCTTTTCATATGTAAACACGTACGTTCACACGAATTTTGATATAATTATTCGTTCGATCACACGGTATTAGTGTGTTATTCGTGCATTCGCACGGATACTGATATGGTACACACACTTTTATTTTAAAAATATAATAAAAATATTAATACGAAAAACAATTATTTTATCAAAATTATCCTATTGATATTTATTAATTATATTTAATTACATTTATTAAAAAGAAATTGCATACTTTTATAATAATTTATATTTATTAAAAAGAACGTAGACCTAAATCATGGACAATAAATATGTACCTTTTCAAAATTTTCATTTTACTATAGCTTTATGATATAGGGTAGAGTTAAGAGATAGAGTTTACTTTATGAGAAGCAGATTTTTGACAGAAAATAACTTTTCAAAAAGATATTTATTGGGAAGATGCATTTTATATACATTTAGATTTCAAATCTTGGCTGGTCTGCATACGGAAACACATCATATAGAAGCAAAAGTTTATATTTTGGTTCAGATAGGATAACATATAACTTTAGTCATTAAAAGTTACATTTTGACTCTAATCAATTGGATAAAGTTTTCATTGGCCAATGTTATAATTTAGTCACCAAAAGTATTATTTGTACTTAAATTAACCTTGATTTCAATAGGTGGACTTATTTAAGCAAATGAAAAATTAATATTAATTAAATACATTTGTGTTCTTATATTATAGATTGTGTAATTTTGTGTGTGGTGTTCTTTGGAATTCATGAGATATGTCAAAACAATCTTTGTTAAGAGTTTTAACCATCGTGGGAAGTATAATTCTGTTTAGGATGTCATATATAACTTTGACTGTTTTGTAGGAACTGTCTAGCATGACTTGTACTATGAAGACACAAATTAGATGGTTTTAAGACTGATTCTTGAAAGGGAGGAACACATGGTTTTACTGTTTCACGTTCTATTGGAAAAATGTTTATTAATAAGAAAGTATGAAAACAAAAAAGATAAAAATTAAATCTTAATCATTTATTAGTACTATTATCTCATAATTTCTACTAAAAAGGAAATTAAATTTAAAATTATTTTCTAAAACAATGAAAAGTATAAATTATTATATTTTTAATTCAAATGATTCTTAATATATAATATTACTCTATTCTATTGTTTCAAAATTTCTACCAAATTTGGTAGCCATGGAAGAGTATAATTTGGTAATTATAATCTAGTGGTAGAATTGCCACAATACAGATTCAGATTTGATTCTCGGCAGGTGCAAATCTTTTGGGACTATGATGAATAATATTGTGATGTTCAATAACATCACCTATCCTAAAATACTCGATGAAAAATATGCCAATGAATTCTCTCTATCTTTTTATCATTAATTACCACCGATCCAGAACCATGGCAACAAGAGTTTTTCATTTGCTAACAAGAAACTACATTGTCGTTACAAGATGTCGTTACAAAACACACGAAAGTTATGAAACAGTATAATCTGTGATTTTCAAAACATATCAACAAGCACCCGTGGTCTAGTGGTAGAATAGTACCCTGCCACGGTACAGAGCCAGGTTCGATTCCCGGCTGGTGCAAATCTGTTGGGAGCTATGATGAATAATATTGTGATGTTCGGTAACATCACCTATCTTGAAACACTGGATGAATAATATGCCTCTGAGCTCTCTCTGTCTTTTTTTTATCATTACTTGTTCTATTCAATTGAAACACTGGATGAATAATATGCCTCTGAGCTCTCTCTGTCTTTTTTTTATCATTACTTGTTCTATTCAAACACAAGAATGCTACTTACTTACTACTTGG